TTCCTGTTTCTCCCGACTTGTCTTCAGCACCCTCTTCTGTTCGCTTATTCTGCTTCATGACGAACAGGTTTCTTTTCCTCAAATCCTCCTGCTTTCTGTGCCTCAGGACCATTGAATGTGTTGAGAGAAACACATTCTCTCCTGCTTCTGACTCAACTTAATGTTACTTCCTCAAGGAACTGTGGAAGGTTGGAGACACGGAAGGGTGGATGGATAGATAGATAGATCAATGGATGGATGGAAGGATGGAGGGATGGGAGGAAGGAGGAAGGAATAGAAAGACGGATGGGCAGATGAATGAATGAACGAATGAAGCCACGCTTAATTGCATTCAGTTTCTCATAAATGTAGGCATTGCTTCTGGATCAGGTTTCTTGGGAAGACACGCACACTCTGGATGGAAGTCGGGTAACCAGTAGAGTCCACAGAGGTGACTGGGCTTCCAGCCAACCAGCTGAGCCTGGCTCAGTAGCCCAGACATGCTTGTCACAACCTTGCCCCTGCCAGTATCCTCTCTGATGTCACTGCTGACCGTCCCCTCCACCGTCCCTGGGTCCTATTCGGCAGGCGCTGCCACACTGGCTTGATGGTTACAAGCGTAAGCTCGGGAGCACGTGACCGAGGTTCAAACTCCTGCTCTGCTGTTCCCTCTTGGTCACTGAGACGTTTACCTCCCTAGCGCGACAGATTCGTCACCCACAGACTGGAGCTCAACCGTCTCACGGAAAGACAGCAGCCTGCACGCTGTGTGTGTTGTCCCGTTGTTACAAGGCCAAGCCTACCCTTTCAGCATCTTGTTTCGGAAGGAAGCTCGCGTCGCCGTCTCCGAATTCGTGTATTGAAACCCTACCTGCCCTGGTCATGGCATTAGGGGGTGGGGCTTTGGGGAGGTCATTAGAGGTAGATGAGGTCACGAGGGTGGGGCCCATGATGGGATAGAGTCCCCCCCCCCCGCATAAGCATCCCGTCTCTCCAGTGCTCGGGACTCCGGACTCAGGGAGAAGTCAGCCCTCTGCAGCCAGCAGGGGGCTCCCGCCAGGACCCGACTGGACTTCCAGCCTCCAGAGCTCCGGGAAGCAAGTTGTTCGGACCCCGGGTGGTCTGCAATGATTTGTTACGGTGCCCGGGCTGACCGAGATGCCTCCCTTCCGTGGTCGTGCACAGGTGTGTGCCTTTCACTCAGTTCAGTCTGCGATCACCAGGGAGCACCTGCCACCTGCCACCTGCCACGCCTGTACGCGTGCACGCACGGCCACCGAGGAGGCACCCCCGGCCCGGAGCCCCCGAACGCCTGCTCAGCCAGCTCTGGACCCCTCTCCGAGCCAGCTCGTGGCACCTCGCACCCACCTGTGCACCGTGTGCACTTCCCACGCTGCACGTAAACGCTGTGTACCCTCCACTCAAGGGCGACCCACCCCCACGAGGCCATGGCTGTCACCGAGACCGGGGTCCCTCTTGGGGCGTCGAGGACACAAAAGACACAACCAGGCCAGAGAACGGAAGGAGGAAGGGTTTCGTTTGCAGCAAGTGACGAGACCGCGGGATCCTGCCCCCAAAGCGGCGTCTCCCCGAACAGCACACCCGGGGAGGGGTTCACCCGAGGGGCTAACGCTCGCCGAGGGGCTTGCGCGCAGGGGCTCCGGCACGGCACGGCACGGCGGCAAAAGTCCGGAGGCGACGGAGTCCGG